ACAAAAGCGGATGGGATGGAAGGAATGAAGGGAAGGGGGAGGGAGGACCGTGCCTGCTTCTTTCATGGTTAGAATGAAGATATTCTAAGGTATCTTTTAGAACAGTCAAGCACACTACTTTTCCTGTAAGAACAGCTGTGCATTTTCTTGTCACAAGGTCACAGACATGCTGTGCTCAGATTCCTCTGACCTTTATAGAACTTTCCAGCCTGTTGCTGTTTGGCCCAGCTCAGGGACTTGGGCCTTTCTCCTAAGGACTTTTATTCTGAACAGCTGTAGACTAGTTTCCAGATTCATTTTCTTAGCACAGAAAATTTAGCACCAGATCCTTCATGAGTTGATTGAAAAGATCTCCATGACATTTACAACACAGATGAGCAGGGTTTCTTGATATGTACATTTCCACATAAATTCGTTCAACAATTATGTATCGATCACTTGCAAAGTGCCAGGCACTCCGCATTAGGAGTGGTTTCAAAACCCTAAACTGGGTATGGTGGTACACACCTGTAATCCCAGCACTCTGGGGGCTGAAGCGGGAAGATTGAGAGTACACAGCCAGCCTGGACTATATAGTGACACCCTGTCTCAAAAAAAAAAGGGAATTTGCTCAGTGGTGAGTACTTAGTCATCATGTTTGAGGGCCTGGGCTCCACACCCCACACTGTGAAATAAACAGATAAATAGTGTCCCCCACAACTGTGGTCACCCCTCCCCCATCCACGGCCTCTTACCTCCAGCCTCCATGCACATCCAGCCCTTCCCACCTTGCTCTCCTCACCCCTCCTTTTCGTGGGCTGCTGTTTGGCCCCTCTCTCAGCATTGTGTCACCCCACTCCCCAGTCTTTCCTCCCAGTGTCTTCTTACTCTATTGTCACAGAATCCACATCTGCTAATAGAATTGCACAGGTGGCCTTGGTGTTTGACTCCAGTGGCCACCAGGTAGCTGGCTGAGTGACACACGGGATCCCCAGGATGACAGTGGCTGCTGCCTCTCCCTGTCATAACAGGAGAGAGGCTGAGTAGGATTCTCTCAGGCTGTCCCCAGTGCAGATTCAGGCCCATTGTAAATATTGGTTGAATGAGCGAACGACTTTCAAGTTACTAAATGTCCCCATGTATTATTTGTAGCTCCCTTTTTCATTGGAAATATACAGTTGGGGGTCAGAAATATCCAAACTCTACATACTGACTTTAAAATGAGCTTTGAATGTAGAAACCATTGATAATTTAAGGGTCATTTTTTTTTTTTAAAGCAACAGTGGCTGAATTGACTTGTCATTGCTGTTCTTCATGACAAAAGCATCCACATGGAACCCTGTACTGTCAAATTCAGTTCTATGGCTTGTCTGTTCGTATACTCCCCAGCAGTAGCAGTGTGTGGCACTAGAAATGACAAAGTTTTTCACCCTTAGAGAAAATAACCCTTAAAAGGGAACCTGTGACTATCAAATGATTTTCCTGCCCCTGTGGTTAGGAAATTGTACCAAAAGATAGATTTCAAAGTGTAAAGCAACTTGATGATAACCTTTGAGCAGAGACAGTTTCTACCTATTTCATTAAATGGTCTTGTTTAAACATCATCCTGGGGCCAACCTACCTCAAAAAATTTTAGGGCTTCCTCACCTTCGAATTTAGAAAGTTATTTTGTCCCTGCTAATTTCAGCTCGTGTCCAAGTGTGTGGAGCCTGCAGGACTCAGGCAAGCTGCCCCATTTAAGCTAGCACTGGGAGTCTGTGCTCTCTGAGTTACATCGGGTGCTGAATTCCCAACTGACAGTGCTGCTCATGCATTTGTTAGAGGTTTTCTTCTAACCACGTAATGAAATTCGAGACAACTTTTTCAAAATTAAAATGACACTACACGAACTTCCTGTCTCTTGTTCAGAACATTCAAGATCATTTTTCAGGGCAGGGACAAGTCATACATCATTGGGGGTTGGGAAGAAGTGTTTTGAAAGCTGATAAACCCCAATAGCCTGGGCTGGGTTTATTTTCTGCTTACCCAACCTCCCCCCTCCTCTCTCTGTGGCCTCATTCTAGGAGTCAGAATTCTAGAGGAAAGCGTTTGTCACATGATTTAAAGAGCTGCCATTGACTAGTCATTTATTTACTTCATTTAATTTTAATTTTTCTGTAAAGTAACATTCAGAGTACGTTTTTCCCAGCTCCCTTCTCTACCATTGGCAAAATAAAGTTTACCATAGTTTAAATATTCTTCAAGACAGAGAGAGAAACACTTGACAGGCAGAAAGAAATCAGGAGTCGTTGTATTTCTGCTCTGAGCTGTTACTTATTGACGAGGATTTGTGCCTGAGGATTAGTGGGAAAGAATGGGGAAACCAGAGGCTGAGTCCAGGTGTTGCTGCTCAGAAGCCACCATCTTCATCCTAAATCCTAATTTTCTAAGGAATTGCTTTTCCTATGTCACAGGTTAACTTTTTGTTTTGCCTTTAACAAATTCAGTGGCCCTCCAGCTCAGGTTTTTTTTTTTTGGTGGACTGGGATACAGCTTGAGCCACACCTCCAGTCCATTTTTGCTCTGGTTATTGTGGAGATAGGAATTCTCATGAACTCTTTGCCAGAGCTGGCCTTTAACCATGATCCTCCTGACCTCAGCCTCCCAAGCAGCTAGGAATACAGGTGTGAGCCACTAGCACCCTGCTAAATTTCTTAATGAAAAAACAAAAATGGTATTGCTTCACAGTCATTCCAGGCTATTCCAGGGGACAGAAGACCCAAGAACCACTGAGCTGGGAGTGCATGGGGCGCCAGCCTCACACAGCCTCGTGCACTAGTTTGAAGTGATTTTGCTCTCACAATGGTTTCTAGTCATATTATGTATTGTAGGAGAGTGGTGAGTGACTCCACATTCTACACACTGAGGTTTGCATCCTGGCAGCTGCAATTTTAAGTTTACAGATGGTAAAGGGCTATCAGGATATGCTGGCCTGTCCCTTTCTACCTCCTGAAAGAACACAGTGGCTCACCAGAAACACAGGGCCTACCACAGGGCCTAGCAATTGTCTTCCTAGGAATATACCCAAAGGAATTGAAATCAGATTTGTACCGGAATGTTTACAGGAGCATTATTCATGAAAGGGAAACCACCCAAATGTCCATCAGCAGATGAACGAATAAACAAACTGTAGCATATCCATATATTGGAATATTATCCAGCCCTAAAAAGGAATGAAGTGCTCAGACATGCTCCAATACGGAAAAACCTTAAAAACATTATGCCAAGTGAAAGAAGCCAAGTTGTAAGGCCACACACTGGATGGTTCTCCATGAAAGAAATACCCAGAATGAATAAATCCATACAGACAGAAGACATGGAAGTAGTTGCTAGGGTCTAGGAGAAAGAAAAAAGGCGAGTGACTGCTTGATGGGTACAGAGGTAGGGTGACGAAAACATCACCTGGAACTAAGTAGGGTGATGGCTTCACAACATTGTAAATTATTTAATGCCACTGGATTGTATATTTTAGAATGGTTGAAAGGGTGAATTTTATGTTCTGTGCTTTTGCCATACGCACACATGAAAGGCAGGGGCATATTAGGGAAGACATTTTGGGAGTGAGATTGGATCTCAGCTTCAAATGCCTTTGAGACTAGGCAGATAAAAGGAGAGAGGAGGAGAGGGAGAAAGGAGGAGGGGGAGGAGAAAAAGAGAAAGAAAGAAGAAGTAAGGAGGGAGGGAGAAGGGGACTCTAAAGAGTCTAAAATTAGAAATTGTTTTTGAAAAATTTGAAAATGAATGCACGAGGCTTTGAATCCCTGGGACACAGAAGCCATCCTTGGCACAGCTGTCATTCAGCTCATTCTGCAGCCTTCCAGAGTAGTCCACAGTCTTACAATGCCAGGAGACACCAATGCTGTAGGCAGAACAGGCTTTGATGACCTCAGTGACATGGACCACAAAGGTCCATGGTTAAAGCAGAAAAGATCAGGAATTTGTGGCCAGCAAAGAGCTCATGCTGGGATGGAACACACCACCCGTTCTCACCTCCTGTCTTTGGATGATGGGAGTGGATGAGTGAGACCAGGGACAAGGCCCATGGGCTATCCAAGACCCAGTTTCTTCACGTGAGAAATGCAGGTACAGTCATGGCGGCACCTTGCTGCCAGGCTATCTTCTTTACTATCTGTCCTTAGTACTCAGAGCTGAGTCCTTTATGAGGCTTGGTGGGAGCTCAGCAACAATTGGGGGAAGTGTTGCTGGTGGCAGAGACCAAGGACCATCCCCCTGCAGAAGAAAAGGATAAGGGGCCACACAGAAGCTCCCCTCCGTCCCTAAAGATGCATCCTTGTGAGGTGGAACTAGGGCAAGAGGCATGAATCTAGAGATAAGTTTGTACCTGTGCTTTGACACAGAGTGATCATCACACAGGTAATGGCATTCCTCACACTAGAGATATTTAAATGTCACCTTAGTAAATGTGGGGCCTACATTTTTGGTTCTTCGTAGTTATTTTTTGTTTTGTAGCACTGGGGATCAAAGCCAGGGCCTCCTGTATACCAAGCAGTCACTCTACTACTGAGCCTCATCCACAGCCCTTGGGCCCCCCCTCCTTGTTTTGCAGTCCTGGGGTTTGAACTCAGGGCCACTCCACCAGCCCTATTTTTGTGGGATACGGTCTCGTGAACTATTTGCCCAGGCTGGCTTTGAACCAAGATCCTCTTGATCTCTGTCTCCTGATAGCTAGGATTACAGGGCCATATGTTTTAAAGAGACTCAGTGTTTGTATTGGTGTGAAGGAAGAGTTGCCCATTCACGCTTGCGTTTCTTCATTCAGACAGCCAGTATGGAAGGCTTGACTGCATGCCAGGAGCAGCACTGTTAGGTGACTGGGTAAAATAAGGAGTTTTCTGATGACCCCTGCCCCAGGGGTCACATGGCTTTAACAGGCCATAGAGCCACATCAACAAATGGCAGGAGTAGGACCTCAGAAGTCATTTGTCATGCCTCAGGTTCACTCTGCTACCTCTCTTTCACAGTGCACCAAGACCTGTGGCGAAGGCTCCAGGTACCGCCAGGTGGTGTGTGTGGACGAGGACCAAGGCGAGGTGCACAGTGCACACTGCGATGACCGCCAGCGACCTGCAGACCACGAGAGCTGCAGCTTGCAGCCCTGCGAGTATGTCTGGATCACGGGAGAATGGTCGGAGGTACTGTCCCCGGGAGTCTGTGTCCACCTTCTGAGCAGCAGGCCCAAGAACAGCAGAGTGACAAGGAGAGAATGGGTTCCCAAGGCCAGGATCACTCCTGTGTGTTCTCAGACAGGGCCTTCCCCGGGCCAGAAACCCACACGTGCAAACGGGGAAATCTGCAGAATGCTTTCAAAGTTCCTTCCGTTCTGCATTTTCTCATTCACCTTGATGTCCTCTTGGTATGATTCAACAGGAATTATTACAGGGTTGCAACCTCAGAGGATGTCTTCCAATACTTGAAGAAGGTTAAGTGTGAGAAAATATCTTAGTGCTGGGAACACAATAGAGAGAGGTGGAGACTGTGGCAAAGATGCACATGTTGTGTAAAGGACCAGGCTTGTTTTCTGCAGGCATGAGGTCATGTAGAAGTGTGTGTCCACTGTTCCCCATCCTAAATTTTCAAGGAAAGGCAAAAATCTGGGTGTTGTTGTAAGGTCTACTACCTTAAAAACGGGGCAGTGTATGGGGTAAACCAAACACTTTTATAAACCAGATGTTGCTTGCCTATTTAATGACTTCCTCAAACTCATCACCCCTAAGGGGTATTTCCCATGCAAGGCCATGCAAGTGTATTCCTAACACACAGTGGGATTGTTTTATTTTGCTTTGCTATGGTTTTAAAATTGGAAGAGTAATATACACTTATAAACGAGCATGCACACAAAAGAGTTGCCTGCCCAGAAGGGAGCTGTTCCTATGCTCCAGATCGCTAGACTAAAGGGGGAGAGGGGTCATCCACACTTTCCCAACCCTGTGGAGTATCTGTTCTTTTCAGAGATGTGGAGGCCTCTGAACCAAGCCTGACCATGTTTGGGAGTCAGCAAATGCCTGTCTCCCACTGTGTCCCCCATGAAGGTGGCCCATGAGCTGCTTTTGCTCCTGGATTTGGAGGTCAGGGTTCTCATCACTTGCTACTCCCATGTACTGCCTCTCTCAAGTTAGTACAGGCTAAGGTCAAGGTGTATAAATGCTGTGTCAGACCCTCTGGGACACTCATAGCTTGGACAGGTGGTGTTTGTCAGTCTCCATCCATACAGGGATACCAGGACAGCATTCAGTGGCCTGGCCTGGTGTCAGCTGGGCCCTCAGGCATCTGAACAGCAGCAGCCAATGAAGGACGAAATGAGATCAGGGCATGGCCAGGTCTCCAGCCAGATGGAAAGGGTGCTCAGGGTCGCTCTGTGTGCCTCTGGCTGGGATTTCTTCAAGGTGGGCCTAGAAAAGTCACAGGAGAACAAAGCCATGCAGCTTAAAGCAGCAGTTCAGGAGCCACCAGACACTGTGGCTTTTATCCATCCTTATAGACTGATGAAAACTATAGCTCCTCACCCTGGAAAAAGCACAACACATATGTGACGTGCTCTCTCCTGGCACTCATCTGTTCCTCCTCGCAGAAACACAGGTCCAGAGAATGCACGACTTCACCTTACATTTCTGTAGCACCTGTACAAAAAAAAAAAAAGAAAAAAATGGTAGCTATTTGATGAAATTGCCTGAAAATGCCATCCAAACTGCATGAATTGTAACTCAGTTTCATTTGTTAAACAGAAACTGATAATTTTGAACATATTATAAAACCAGCTCAATATCCTGTCACAGAAGGGAGTGGAGACACTAGCAACATATGCATTCCTCCTCCACGTTTGCATTGGTTGAGAATTTTAAGTGCTATATCGTTAGGAAAAAAGGATCCTGTGATCATGTGATTTGAGAGGGAGAGACAGGAAAGCAGAAAGGTGACATGCCAGTTAAAACATGCGGTCAGGAAAAGAAAAGCGAGAAGGAAACTTTGCAGAGGGCAGATGTGGCAGAGCACAGCCCCAAGGAGTGAGGGGACACTGTCCCCAGAGTCCCCCTTTGGCTTAATATTTGCATTGCACACTCAAAATGGTAACTCGTGCATTGGCTGCAGGCTCCTCTTCCCCCCCACATTCAGCGGCTGGGCTGGGCGGATCTGTGTAGGTTTGGGAAAGAGCAGTTTGGTGGCAGCTGAGGCACCTCCCCCCTTTAAGGACAGGGAAGCATGAGGCACCCTGTCTGCAGTGGGAGGCCAGCTGGAGAGGGTCCTGCCTACTGGAAGCTGGGTGAATGAAGGAGCTGATAAAGTGACAGTGTTCTGCAGCATGACATGGGGTCACGCTCGGGTGGAGGACAGGGGCCCATTACGGCTGCCCCCAGGAGCTGCTTGAACCTCTCCTCTCTTCTCAGTGCTCAGTGACCTGTGGAAAGGGCTACAAACAAAGGCTCGTCTCCTGCAGCGAGATTTACACCGGCAAGGAGAATTATGAGTACAGCTACCAAACCACAGTAAGCTGCCCAGGCACACAGCCCCCCAGCGTCCACCCCTGCTACCTGAGGGACTGCCCTGTCCTGGCCACCTGGAGAGTTGGCAACTGGGGGAGCGTAAGTAGAAGACTGAGCTGTCAAATCTGAAATCTTTAACCTCTGAGCCACTCCTGCCTGATCTGCTCTCCTGCAGGGCTTTACCTCAGTGAGAAACAGGAGTCAGCAAATTGACATGGCTGACAGGAAGAAAAGAGGCTTTTTCCAGTGGGGCAGGATGGCTTGGTGCTTAGGGCATGGACTCTGAAGCCAGATGGGCTGGAGCTGAATCCTGGGTTTGCCACATCCCAGGAGAATGCAAGTTGTAGAACTTCTGTGCCTCAGTTTTCTCATCTGTAAATTGGGTGCTTGTGAAGATGAAATGAGTTGATATATAAAAAGCATTTAGGTTATAATGACAGATTTTGTGATTGCATACATTTTGCCACAGTTTTTAAAATGCATTTAGAATCTGGCATTTAATAAGAGTTCCACACAGATGAGTTTTTACTGCCTCTGTTATGAAAGAGTCTGTGTGTTCTAGTCTTTCCATGTTAGGACAATGTCATTCCTTTGGGGAGACGACAAGGCCCAATTTTCTAAATTGAATTGGCTCTGAAAAATTGACGCAGCTGCCTGACTTTGGGCTACAAAGCTCTCAGTCTTCAAGAATGATCCAGCAAAAGTGATAAGGAGGAAATTGTTAGGGTTCAAGGTCCACCATGACCTTGAACAAATTCCTTAACATTGACGCCCTAATCTACCATCTAGAATAACAGATAATGTTCTTACGTCTATCTCATTGAATTATTGTGCAGGTTAAATGAAAAATCATGTGTGTATACACAATTATGCATAACTTTATACATATAAATAAACATTTTATACATACCTATGTTTATACATATGTTCTAAGCTTATATACATATATGATATATATGTACATATGCATATATATGTGTGTGTATGTATATTTATATATATTATGTCACCATTTGTCCATGCGGGGACACTTAGGCAGCCTGCGGTGCCCTGGTATCAACTGGGCCCTCAGGCATTTGAACAGCAGAAGTCAAAGAAGAAGAAAGGACCACAATGTATTTCTAGGTCTGGAGCCAGCTATACATGTGTACATATCTTAAATATATATATGTATAGCTAAGCACAGAGACCGGTCCATAGGAAGTGTCCATGAGATGTCAGTCAGAGGGTGTAGACTGTCACTCTGTCCATGACACAGGGCTCTGAGCTCCACCCCTCCAGAAGCCCAGGCCCCCCAGGTTTGAGAGCCACCTGCTGACTCTCCTTTGCCTTCCAGTGCTCGGTGTCCTGTGGCATTGGCGTGATGCACAGATCGGTGCAGTGTTTAACCAATGAGGACCACCTCAGCCACTTATGTCCTACTGACTTAAAGCCAGAAGAACGGAAAACCTGCCATAATATTTATAACTGTAAGTTTGCCAACCGAAGCCATCTTCTGCTAGCACGAAGACGGTTTTCTTTGTTCATTTCTTTGCTTGCTTTCTTTAGGAGTGCGGTGATTTTTTGAAAAAGAAATCCTTTGCTAAAAAGTGTCAATGGTGCAATGTATTCCAGTAGCTCATCTCAGAGTCCCACCCTATTTTGGGGATTTGTGTTTTCCAGGTGAGCTACCCCAGAACTGCAAGGAGGTTAAGAGACTCAATGGTGCTCGTGAAGATGGTGAATACTTCCTGACTGTTAGAGGGAAACTCCTAAAGGTGAATGCCACATAACATTTTTCTGGACTGTTCTTACAGTGAGTGATCATTGCTCTCATCCCTCCATTTCTGAGAGACTCTCCATGCATTATTTCTGCTCTGTCTTTTAGATATTCTGTGCTGGGATGCAGTCTGACCACCCCAAGGAGTACGTGACACTGGTTCATGGTGACTCTGAGAATTTCTCTGAGGTTTATGGACACAGGTAAGCAAGCCAGACTCAGAAGAGCCCAGACACCTAAAAATCCCAGCAAAAACCCTCCCTCCACCCCTTACCAGAACATTCTTTCCACAACTTAGGTTGCACAACCCCACAGAATGTCCCTACAATGGGAGCCGACGTGATGACTGCCAATGTCGGAAGGATTACACAGCGGCTGGGTTTTCTAGCTTCCAGAAAATCAGAATTGACCTGAGCAGCATGCAGATAATAAGTGAGTTCAGGGAGGTGTCATATGGGAATGGGCTCCTGCTTCTGTCCACTCGGGGGGCAAACATGACCTGTGCATGGCTGGGGGCAAGGAGCTGAGTAACTCGAGCAGCTTCCAGTCCAGTGATGACAGTCCCCATCTAAGCCACAGGGCTTTGTCCTTTGTGCTTACTGCTGTGTCCCCAGTACCTGGAACACGCCTGGCACAGGGCAGGTCCTCCAACAGATCTGTGATGAAGAATATGGAAGGACATTAAATTGCCCCCATTGCATATGGAGACTCTGAGCAGCACCCCAGAAAACCCGACATTGAGTCTAAGACCTTAAGGTCAAGTAGGGAGTTAGCCAGGCATGGGATGTAGGTATAGAGGAGCAGATGAAACAGTAGATATGAAATCCCAAAGCTAAGCAATTTTTGTGGCAGATTTTCCTACCCAGCATCCCCAGCATATTGTGCACATATATATAGAAGCAAAACTCATTTTATCTGATTGTCGCAGTATGGAAGAAAAATGGAGCCCAGAATTCCCTTTTCTAACAAGCCTCCACATGGGCTGATTTCAGATTCTGGCCAACACTGCATTTCTGTTAGGGACATTAATCATAGGAGTGGTTAAACACTGCTAAAATATCTGACCGTGTTCCCTTGAATAGAGAAAAAACAGAAATGATGAATAATTAATTTTTCCTCATTAACATTGCACCCATAATATTGCATTGCTTTCCTCTTGAGGTCAATTAAACTTGATTTGTACCAAGATTTTTTAATTGCCTTCAGCTTGACTAGGGCCAAAGGCAGAGAACCTGAAGCTTCTCCACTTAGAAAAACACCCCAGCTATGACCCCAGCTAAGAGCTGAAGCAGACAAGGATCCGTATGCTTGTGAAATGTGGGCCTCAGATTTCCCTCCCACTGAAGTGTGGCTTGCTATAGAAAGCTCTAGGCCTTCATCCATTCCTGGAAGATAAGACAGAGGGACCAAAACCCTCCTGAGGCATCCACTCCAAGCAGCAAGACAACTTTTGTGGCATTCTCAATTTAATTCCTGCTGGGCATTGTCAGAGGGAGACCAGCAGAGTTGAAAACATGAGCTATGGGTCACCATTGTTTTGGTTGGCTTTTTTTTTTTTTTTTTTTTAACTACAAACTAGCCTCGAACTTGAGAAAATACCATTAATAATTTCAAGATGGGCATTCTAATTGCACCACATTTTGGCAATCACTGTGCCTATGCCACGGGAGGACGATGAAGCCTCAGAGAACAGCTCCTAAGTAACTGGAAATGTCCCTCTGGCTACTTGCCCCTGTCCTTAAGCCCAAGATGCAGTGGGACAGGAGGTTCGTAATCATCCAGTTACACTGCACTTAAGCGAGGCTAGTCACACATTTATTTATGTGCAATCAACTCCAAAGTCATGTTAAACCTCGTTTTGGCTTTCGTACCATGAAGAGACAGACAGTCAGTGCTGATGAAACCCAGAGAACAAAGCTCTCCAAATCACAGGAGTAAAGAAGAAAATACAAGTGCACATCTGGATCCATTTGCTTACTAATACTTGAAATTGTTTCCTCCCCCCATTTCTTCTTATTTCTCCTGTCCTTCCCATCTCTCTTCTTGTTAATATACTATCCCTTCCCTGCTTTTCTCCTCTTCTCACCTTTCTCTCTTCCTTTAATCCTCTCTCCATCACACAGCTACTGACTTACAGTTTGCCAGGACAAGTGAAGGACATCCTGTTCCTTTTGCCACCGCTGGAGACTGCTACAGTGCTGCCAAGTGCCCACAGGTATGTCCTTGGACCTTACTCCTTACCAGGCATCCTCCACCATTCTACCCCAGAGGCACCCTTAGTTCAGCTGTTTCTGGGGATGTAATTAAAACAGCTTCTCTGCAGAGCCATTGGCCACATTGAACCAAGGTCATCACAAATGCTCCCAGTGTGTAATCCAGGAACTCTACCTCTGACAGAGGTCCCCATGCATGCCTGACTTCCGAATTAAGCAAAATGCATCATGCATGATGGTAAAAACTTAGCAACAAATTAGATGTTGGATGGCCAGAGCTTGGCTTGACAAATTATGACTCTTAATGAATATCGTAGTCAGTAGCATATTGGTAAATGTTTAATGACTAACACGACAACAAAAATCCTGCTCTGTAGCATTTGCCAGTTTCTATGGTGTAAATAGTCTCCCCATGATTGATGTCAAACTGTCAACAAAATATCACTTGAGAGTTGGGGAAGAAATGCACAGAATTAGGTTATAAAGACACAAGATGTCCGTCTGTGAATTTTTTGTTGTATCTTGTTGCCTTATAGGGGTTTTTTTGTTTTCTTTTACTGTGGGTTGTTTGTTCTGGTTTTCTTTTACTGTGGGTTGTTTGTTCTGGTTTTCTTTCGGTGCTGGGGCTTGAACCCGGGGTCTTGTGCATTGCTAAGCACACATTCTACTACTGAGCTACCTCTCCAGCCCCTAGTTTTTTAAAAATTTTTTTAAAATATAGACATAGAACAGAAGTTTGGAAAGACTTTCTACACTTGGAAGGAATGGAAGCATAATGAATTTGCTGATTCTGGGCAAGAGAACTTGGCCCTAGTATTTTCTTGGGTTTGCACGAGGTCTTCACAAAGCTGTTGTCACACAGTGTGGGCAATTTCCTACTTTGTAAACCTTCAAAAGTCTGGGCCTTGGGACTGGATGTTGCATTCAGAATCCCAGGCACTGTCTCCATAGGATGGATGGATTTATCCCCCACAACAGAGAGCATCCAAAGATAAACACATCTGAATTTTCTTTAAAAAAAGTCAGTCCCCAGCTTTAGAGGATCATTTAGAGAAGTGTAACGAAGCTCTCTGGGGAGAAAGAAAATAAACAAAGGACATAATGGTAAAAAGGGTTTTACCTCCACCACCCTGAACTGAAAACTTTTGAAGTGCATTTTCTGTAGCATAGTGGATGACTTCTCGCGTAGTAGATGACTTCAAACACCCCATCGGTATGGCTTGCGTTTCAATGGCTAATAGGTTGGCTCTGTTTTGCCTTTTTCATATGTTTCTGCATTTTTTTTTGTTTGTTTCTATATGCACATCCTTTGGGAAGCTTAAGTAAATGAAAGGTAATTTGAATTTATTTATTTTAATAATTCAGAGACAAGTGAACTGATTGGTTTGCTAAATTCTGACAAGAAGCAATTGCTCCATGGGAAAACTCCAAGTCAGTGAGAGGTTAATTTGTACTTTCCCCATCCTTATTCTTCAAATCATGTCGGGTCCTTTTAGGATTCAGTTCCTTACATACTTATTGAACACCAGCTATGCTGATGAAAGACGTGAGCCTTTCCAATAAGTTTTCCAGGAAAAAGTTTGTAGAAAGCATAATTGTGCAGTTTGCTTTGGGGGTGGATGATTTGCCCTTTGACCTAATGGTTGTGCAGAAATCAAAGCAGAGAGATGCTTTGAGCATCTGTCTCTTTCTCTTCATCCATTGCCTTTGCTTTGAGGATCTGTTTTTCAATAAGGGTAATTTCCCAGAGAGCCTTCACCTCTCCAGATGGCTAGAATGTTGGTTTTTTTTTTTTCTTTAATCCTGATCACAATAGATTCAGCATTAGCAGTATCTATTGATGCTGTTATTAATAGCTCCCATTTATTTATTGAGCATTTCCTATATTGTAGGCACTGGGTTCAGTGTCCCCAAGGCAGCATCGCTTGGTCCCTGCAGTATTCTATGTGACCAGGAAGGTGAGGTGTAGAAAAGCTAAGTAATCTGTAATCTGCCCGGCCTCACACAGCTGGTCTCAAGAGAGGCTGGATTTGACTCCAAGTAGGTCTGAATGCATTTCCTGATAATAGAGGGGTCTTTCTCATTCTGTTTGCAAGCAAGACAACTGGAATATTTACTGTCATCAGACAGACAGCAAGATCCTTCTCTGGTCTAAGCCCAGCTTTTATAAACCTCCATGGATCATTTAATGTATGCATGACTCTTAATTACTTTCCTCTTTTAAATCAGCAGCAGGAAGTAGCAGCTACAACTCTTGCAAACCCAAAGATGAGCACTTTTAGGGACAAAGATGTCCTAGAAGGAACATTAGGTTTTTACTCCTTCTGGTGGGCACTTAGCTTTTAGAGTGCTAATAATTAGCTAAAATGTTTGCCTAAAATACAGATCCCTGAACGAGAGAAGGCAGAAGGAAAATGAGAAAGACCAGGGTTCTCTCCCTCTCTGAGAAGGCAGACCTAGTGGATTAGCTATTGAGTATGATCAGACACAGGGCGCCCAAGGAGTTGGGGACATTGTCAGTACAGAAGCCACAGTGGCCTTGTTCTAAGAACTTCACTGCGGAAGCAGAACAAGTCTTTCTTCTCCTGCAGTGCATGTGGGAGCAGGAGCTCCAGTGAAAGGAGGACTGGACAGAGGAAAGAGGGCATCCTCGGCCATAGTGTGGCATTGGCTGGCTGAATGTTGGGATCGGTCCCTGGGCGGGGAAGAGCCTGGCCTGATCCCTTGCAGGTTTGAGCAGGCCAAGGGTGCCCTCTGCTGGCCACTCTGGGGATTGCGCCTGCGCTTTGAAGTCCCGCCCTGCTGTGCTTGGTACGCGGCTGTGCTCATCGCCCCAGGGAGCTGGAAGAGTTGGGAGCTTTGGCAGCTAGATCTTGTTAGAAAAATTACACTGTGGCATTTTGTTCCTGAAGGAATCTGATAATTGTAAGCAACATCAGGATTGCGGTGTTAGGGAGGCCGAATGGTGGTGACTGAGAGTGAGCCCTTTGAAGTCAGGAAGATGTGAGCTGGGCTCTCACTGTATCTCGGAAGGCTGTGGGAGGCCTCAGTTTCCCCATCTTTAAAGAAAATCCCCTTCCTAAAGCTCTCTAGAGGAAAAGTGACACAATGCATGACAAAACAAAAATAAAAGACCCTCAAGAATTAGTTAACATTCTTCTTTCAGAAATGCCTTTTATTTATTGGGTTCACCTTTGCCTTTTTGGGAACATCACCTGGGCTAAAAAAATTTTTGTGCTGGCCATTTGTTCCAGGGTCGTTTTAGCATCAACCTGTACGGAACCGGCCTATCTTTAACAGAATCTGCCAGATGGATATCACAGGGGAATTACGCCGTCTCTGACATCAAAAAGTCGCCGGTAAGACTGCAGATTGCTTGGAGGGATGGGTTTTGGTTTTATTCTCTTTTCTCTTTTGTAACTATAGTGGTGGCGCTACAGGAACGAATCTGCTTTCTCACTTCCTCAAGCCATCCTGCAAAGTGTCAGGAAGAAAAGGTAGGGTATAATCCTCAGGTGTGAATACGTGACTGCCTAGCCAGGAAGCTACAATCAGGAAGACGCCTCTAGCACAGGTGTGGCCCAGACCTCGTGCAGCTAAGTCGTCAGGTCAACGTGTAACTCACTTTCCTGAACCTAGGGAAAATGACATTGTATCTTATTTCTTTGAGAAATAATTGCAATTCAAATGGGCCAGGTGATATTTCTGGACAATTAGGAATACACACACAGGTTTTATGTTTTTGGTGCTGTAAAATCTTGCTCCTGAAGGTGTGATGCACACAGTACAGCCGCATTGCCAGGAAGCTGTTTGAAACCACTGGTGCCAGGTCCCCCAGGTGTTCATGAGCACAGCCCACTTGGGAAGCACTGGTCTGTATGTGGCTTCTCCCCTGTGGAAGTTTAAAATTTTCTTGCCCAGTTCTTTTCACCCAGATTAAGAAAATCCAAATCCCTGCAGGTGGAACCCTGGCTGGGGTGGAATTTCCATAGGTGACTTTAACATGCAGCTACAGCCTCCCCCTTTCCTGGTGTTCTCATAACAAGATACAGTTCCTGCTTCAGTCACAAGGCAGAAACGTCGGAGGGGAGAGGAGGGGAGCTGGGGAAGAAGAGAAAGTGTGTGTTACTCCAAAATAGAATTACCAGGTAAAATATAGGACACCCAATTAAATTTGAATTTCAAATAAACACAAGGTTTTTTTGTTTTTTTTTTTACTATGGCCAATAGATTGCATGGTATGTACTTATATTTTTTTAAAGTCTGTGTTTTTATCTGAAATTCAAATTTAACTGGGCATCTTGTGTTTTTATTTGCTAAATGTGGTAAGTCTATCAGTAATATTTTCATTTAGTCAAAATGAGACTATTGAATATTGAACAGCAGCTCCACCTACACCCCCCCCCCGAAAGAGAGATACTCAGTTTTGACTTTAAGCAAAATCTGTTTCCTGATCTCTTTTCCTAACTGCTAGGGATTTTTTTTAACTGAAAAATAAAAATTAATATATTTTTATCATGACGACATATTTTGAAATTATACGTTATATTTCAATAACCCAGAAAAGCAAAAAAAAAACTATCCAAAGCATGGGTGTAGGAAACCATCTCTGTGAACTGTAACATAATTTGGAATTCTATGGTAACCAGTGTCAATCGATACAGCTATTTCAGCCAGAAACTAAAAATAATTGCGGCCGAGAGCGCCACCTAACGGGCATATGCATGAGCTGCCCCTCACTCTTAGGGACCGGTTCCGCCTGAGTTGGAGGGAGTTGGTTTGACAATTGCCTGTCAGGGTCTCTTGGGTTTTGTTTTTTTCATTTCTTTTTTTTTTTTAAATCTTGGTGTACTATGACAGCTCAGTGAGCCTGAGCTCAGAATTAATCTCCAGGGCCTGGAGAGCATTCTTTATGAATACCTGGGAGCTGGGAGAGAAAGCTGCCCAGCTCCTGGCAGCCTGGGAAAGTGTGTGGTCCGCGTCCCGGCGCCCCCCGTGGGTGCTCTACGAGAATGGGCCTTCTCCGTCCTACAGGTTTGGGGACAAAATGCACATGGTATTTCCTCCTTGAGGAGTCCCAGTAAGCACTAGCCTGCTAGAGGCTGGAATATGGTATACAAGGAAGAAACTCACTTGACTATTTGAAACAGCACTCTCCTAAACACTGGTTCTCAATTCGTGTGCATACACATCACCTGCACAAGGCTTCTTAAAACATGGTGGGGCACTCTTTTTTGTTTATCCTGGGTCCTGGTGATCCAAGCCAGTACCTTGCACATAGGCACGTGCTCTATCACTGAGCTCCACTCTCAGCCCCCAAATATGTGTGGGCTTTGTGGAAGAGTCCAGAAGTGTACATTTCTAACAGTTTCCCAGAGGTGGTCCTAGTAGCCATGTTTTCAGAAGCACTAACCTAAAATAAACCGAACACAAAAGATTCTTTTTGATATCCCCAAATACTCAAAGCTCCACGGGACACATTTTGGTTTTTTTTTTTTTTTCCCCTTCAGCGTTGGGGACTGAACCCAGAGCCTTGTGCATGCTAGGCAAGTGCTCTACCACTGAGCTATACTCCCAGCCCTCCACGGGACACATTTTGGAAACTGTATTGTATTCTGGCTCCCACTCAGTACCCCCCAACCATCTTGTCCTGAGGGACAGAGACACAGTCCCCTCCATTACTCTGAGCCCCTGGTCAGTTAGAGTGCCCTGCTTTCCAAACAGCCCTGCTTTGATTCAGAACCTCAGACCATCACTTCTCTCTTCCCATGGTTTCTCCTGGGAGCTACAGAGAGAAAGAACACAACAAAAGCTTCACTTTTCCAAACCTGCTCTGCAATAAAATGTTTTCCTCAAGCAAAACTAAAAGTAGACTCTAGTCATTCCAGTAAAACTGGGTCTCCAGAGAGATGTCATCTCACTAAGGTGGCAAAACTGCTCAAAACCAGTCTCAGTATTTAGCTTACTGTTGACTCCCTTGAATGGAATGGAAAGAATTCTTTTCTCTGATTTTTGCCAAAGAAAAATAATCAGGATTATAAAACTTAGAAGTAATGAAAGATATATTACTATAAAGATAGAGTCAGGCCAGGCGCTGGTCACTTATACTTATAATCCTAGCTACTCAGGAGGCAGAGAGCTGGAGGATCATGGTTCAAAGCCACCCTGGGCAAAGAGTTCGCAAGACCGTGTCTCAAAAAAACTCATCACAAAGAAAGGTCTGGTTGAGTGGCTCAACCAGACCCTAGTTCAAACTCCAGTACTGCAAAAAACTTATTAAAAAAAAGAAAAATAACATGGACTCAGTTCTCTTTGAGTTCATTTGCCACCAGTGAGTGAAGGCAACCTGAAATCAGAACATACATGTGTACATACAAGCACACACAGCACAGTAACCTATGCATCCAGACAGATGGCCTCCCAATCCATGTTAGCTTATGAAAATCCGGCAACCTGCCAAGGAGAAAAATTATGCCACAGCCCAGTCGAGTGAAACACAAAAGATTTACATTTTATATGTAAATTGTACATTTCATTTTGTACATTCTTATAGAAATTAGGCAAAATTGTGTACATCTATCCATATGCACGTAACTATCTAAGAGCTACATTTTGAAAAATAGATATATATGTATGTGTGAGCATACATGTGCATAAATACTATAGTTTAATCTGTGTATACACATATGTGTGTATATATATGTGTATGTATATGTGTGTGTATGCATACATACACTATGTTTTATAGGTACTGTTAGTTATACTCCAGGGCAAATTTGATTGCACACAACTTCATGCTATCATTTTATTTTACACCCTAAAATCATGTGTCCATTCATTTGTACCTCTTAGCAAAATTCCCTCCTCCCCTCCCCAGCCCAGCAAGCCTTCCTTCCACCAGGCCCACTCTAAGGACATGTAAATGAACCCACTTCAGTCAAAGATGAGCCCCTCCTAAAATGCCAGGAGTCACCCTCCCTGGTCAGATTGACTGGGAAACACAGAAGAATTAGTGAAATGAGTGAGATGCAGACTATTCTTCAAGGAACAGAAGTTTATTCATTTTGCTTACATGCAATAAATTAAACTAGGTTAACAAAATGTTCACTGGAAAGAGAATTCTACAAAATTCTATAGAATGATGAAGTAAAATGAATGTTTCATTGTATGTGAGCGGGGGCTTCTAGAGACCCTTTTTTTTTTCCTGAAAGAGACACTCTCCAGGACAGCCATGTTTTTCTTATTGCTCAGTGTGGCGTTTCTTTTATCTTGTGATAAAAATGAGTTTAAGCTTAGCTTTTATCTATTTTGTCTAAATCAACTTAACAGAGGTCCAGTTAAGGAGATAGTGTGAATGCTATAAAGCCCTTATCAACTTTTATTTTTCAATTTGATAACTGCGCAGGTATTTCCTCATCTCCATGAATACAGGAGATGATGGAGACCCACATATTGTGTGTGTTAATAATAGCTAATACTTCCTGGGCACGTGGGTTAAGGCAAGTACTGTGCTAAGCACTTAGTGCTTAATTACCTAATGTGCAGCAAACATGAGGGAACACATTGTTCCCACTTCACAGATGCACTGGGAGATTAAGGCTCAGAAAGCATGTTTTAAAAGGCTAATCCCTGCCCCTGGCATCTGATTCAGACTATCTCCTTTGCTGGGGAGAGTTTGGGTAAGGCATAGCTTTGATGATGCCAAAGATATACCAAGCACATGGGCTTCCTGAAAGCCACCAGTCCTGTGCTTACACCTAGGGAGAAAGTTAGTTCCTGGTAAGAGGACTGGTTGGTCCAGCTTACATTCCAGTTGGTAGTGGCATGAACTAGCTCCTGAACTAGCATGGCCCCTTAAAACCAGGACCAAGTGACAATAGAAATGACTCTCTCAGTTCATTCTCACCCATAACCAGTCAAAGACATGAAGATCTTAAAAATAAAGAGAAGCTATATTCTTTTGCTATTAAGTGGTCCCTCCCTCCCTTTCTTCCTCCCTTTCTTTTTAAAAAAGGAGATTATCCATTGTTTATAAGAAACTTCACAGTTTGCTGTATGAACTAAATCTTCATGTTCTTTGATTCAGTTCTGCGAATGTAGCCCAAAGGTATCCTGAAATGCAGGCACAAATGTGTTCATCATATTATTTTTCAGTAGAAAATATAAAATTCTGTAGAGGGAGGGAGAGAGAGAGAGGGTTAAGTGACACAGTAAATACACAGAGTAGAGTATGATTAGCAAGTAATTAACCGAGAAAGTTTTCATAGCTTGGTCAAGTGTTAGGGAAACTAATGAGCAGGGCAGTGCTTTGCAGTTCTAAAAGAAGACTGTACCTTGAACCATTTTTATTCATTGTTCATCCATTCTTTCACTTAATATATGTGAATTTAGTATCGCTCTGAGCCTACACTGTGCTAGGTTCTGGATACTCTCAGATTTTAGTAAGGTGTGGGTCTTGCATCCTGGTACTTACATTCTAGCAGGAAAACGAATGTTAGAGAAAATTAGCCAATTACAGGCTTCTGTCACATAGGTAACTGTGTCAGAGGAACTTCTCAGGGAAGTAGGAACTATCCTAGATTTCTGACCATTGCTTTGACCTTTGAGTTGGATTCTGAAGGATTTTACCAGGTGCTTTCACTGTTGAGGTAGAACAGTGCACACAAGGAGGGTAACAGAAGAGTTCCAGTCAGAGAGAATTGCATATGCAAAGGCCCTGTGTTGGAAGGTCAGGAGAACAACCCAAAGAAATGCAGACATGTGGGAAAGAGTGGTACAAGATAAAACTTGAGGGACTGTCCAAGACAGATGGCAGAGATTAGACTGGAGGAGGCACTCTTTTTCAGTAAGGTAAATATTTTAGGCTTTGAGGGCCAAGGCAGAATTGATGACATTATATGTATATTTATACATCAAAAGAAAAAAATATGCTAAATGTTATTGGTCAAATTAAAAATTAATAATATTGAGTAAAAAAATCTTTAAATATTAATCTACAAACAAGAAGAATGGAATATTGGTGGAAGAAAACATTTTTCTTAATTAGTGTTCTCTATTATCAAAATCTAGTGTAAATGTTTTTCTGTTAATGCTGATTTGAGATGAGATTTTATCTAGCTCGTATTGCTAAGTGTATTTTTACATGAATAAGTATTGCCAAACACTGATATCTGTCCACAGTGAAATAATTTTAATGGAACATGCTCATGGTTTGGCAGGCATTTGTAGAATTCTATTAGAGCTTTCTCTTGATATTTGCCTTTTAGTATGCGATTACATTGCACATTAACCACTTGCAATTGAAAATGAAATGGAGCCTTCTCAATTAATTGCTTATTTGAGTGGATTTTGTAATGTGAAAATTCCTTCCTGCTTTTATCAAAGTCCAAAACATAGCATTGGAACTACAGTTTATAGTCAGAAAATCATCCACTGTGAATTGGTATGGAGCAGAGGTGGCTTCTTGTTTTAAGCTTTGACCATGGAAAGGGTTAAGGAGCCTCACACTGCTTGTGACTTAAGCAATGTTGGTTGTCATTGGAGTGACTTTACCACAGAGCAAGCATTGCTTACAAGTGTGCAGTTTTGCCTTGTGATTGTAGGTTCAATTCACTAAGAAACATTACCAAGTCCATCAAAGCTAGTAAGTGGTGGTCGCTTTATAGTGACAGGAATAGTTCTTAATCAGAAAAAAAAAAAAATTAGTCTTAGCCCTGAGCTCAAAAACCAAAAAAGCTTACTACTGCTAATCTATTCAATTACTATGTGATAGGACAAGTCAAGGTGTTTAACTTCTGGTCTTCACCAAAAAATTTTTTAAATCTGATTATGGTTAAATCTGTAATAGCAAGTTAAGTCCATCATTCACACTACTATTTCTAGAACTCCCAAATCATTAAAAAAACAAACAAAGAACAAAGCTTTCCAGAGAACCTGCTGTTGAATAATACCTTGAATAACCACAGGCTTTAATTTAAACATCTTACAGTTTCACAAGATTTGTAAATTTGTCCAACTAAACCTTTTTCCATTAAAACTTATTTTTACCAGTAGGGGTTGTCAGCACATCTTAGCAGATTCCACTTCAGTTGTTCTACTGCAGTTCTCTCTCAACTTCTTTGAAATATTCTCACATAAATCTGTTCCACATGGAACAGAGGCTAATTCTCTGTCACTGCAGATTGGGGATTGCCTCCACAAGTAAAAGCAGCACCTGAACAGCAAAATCTCCTAACTCAGCAAGAGCCAAAGAAAACCACCCAAATTGATTTGCTTTGTTTTTAATCGACAGCTGATGTGGCTCCCATTGTCAACAGCTTTTCGAGCAGCCAAATGGGTACTCTTCTTAAGCAACTTTATTTTCTCTGGACACATTTCTCTAGCTGTTGCAATTAACCATGATTTAATTACTGCACTATGGGTAAATTATTTTCCTCCCCTGCCTAACAAATGAGCAACTTGGAAACCTACTCATTTTTGTTTTCATTTCATGAAAGAACTATGCCATGGTGAGATAGTCCATCTTAAATTTCCTATATTTCTGACCATTGCTTTCCTGTGAGTTGGGAATACTGTAATAAGTGCTTATAGTGAGGCAGTCTTATGTGCAGTCTGGTGTGTATTATATTCTGTTAGCACAGCTGTAGTGTTTTTGAATAATAAACACAACACTGTGTTGCCTAAATTTAATTACAGAATAATCCACATGCAGCTGTACCTTAAAAATACAGCATTCAAAACCCTCCAAACTCTTCTCTTCTTGATCTGTCACAATGGTATACATTGGTAATAAGAAAATAGGAATTTGCTATAAACTAGCAGATACATCTGGCACTCAAGTCACTGTCAAGTTAAAACTGTGTCACTGAGCAGCAGTGTGAAGCTATAAGAATCATTGCGATGACTCACTTCTGTTATTGCAACACGAAAGCAGCTATAGACTGCAGGTAAATGAGAGTTGAACATGGCTGTGTTCCAATAAAACTTTATTAGTGGACACTGAAACTTGAGTTTCATACCATTTCACATGTCAAAAAATACTACTCTTGGTTTTCTTTATTTTAACCATTTAAAAATGTAAAATCTGTCAGGGACTGGTGACTCACCATCTTCAAAATACCAGAGCAACATGGACCAGAGGCATGGTTCAAGTAGTGGAGACCAGCTTTGCAAGCATGAAGCTCTGAATTCAAACCCCAGTCCCACCACACACACACACACAAATAATAATTTTAAAAGTGTAAAATCCAGTTGGCTATGGTAGTATATACACTTGTAATCCCAACAGTGGAGAGCCTGAAGCAGCAAGGTTGTAAACTTAATCCAATCTGGGCTATATAGCAAGACCCTGTGTCAAAAAAACCCAAAGAACAGTGAAATCTATTCTTGGCTTGCAAACCATCCAAAAACAGCTCATGGTCTAGAATTGACTCACTGGCCATGGTTTGCTAACCCATGCTTCAGACCGTGATGAGTATGTCGAGTACATTCTAATTTAGAAGTCCTGCCTACTGTGTGTGCAAGAATAATGTCTCCAAAGCCATGGTAAGCCCTGAAAGTAGTTGCCACACAAGTAATCTGAGACGGGTATCTCTTTGCAGGATGGTACTCGAGTCATAGGGAAGTGTGGTGGTTACTGTGGAAAATGCACTCCATCCTCTGGCACTGGCCTGGAGGTGCGAGTTTTATAGCAAAGGTAAGTATTCTTGTGTCTGTCTGTCAGTCTTTCTTTTATTTATTTCTGTAGCCTAACCCTGAGCAAATGTGGGGGATAGGAGAGTGACCTTCCCCTAGACAGGGCTAGTGCTAAGCCTCGTAAAGCTGACCTGCTACTGTCTTTCATTCTCCGGCTGATCCATCTTCACATGACTGAGGCCACGTGTCCTTCACCCTTGGACATGAGATCCCTAGGCCTCGTGCATTAGATTTCGTTGCACTGATCGTTGAAAAGGCCGCCTACTGGGCCCCATCTCTAGAAGTCCTGAGTCGTTAGCTCTCTGGTGCTCCAGGGAATTCTGATGCAGTACTACCCAGGAATTTAATAAGAACCAGGGTAATGACACTAGTGACAGCCACAGCAATGACATTTGTGAAGCCCTCAGTTTGCTGACCATCTTTCAGGCATCATTTTATTGAACCCTCACAACATACCCAGGAATTGAGGCTGTTGTCTTTTTTTTAACAGAAGAGAAAGCTGAGGCTCACAGCCATTAAGTAGCATCCTTAAGGTCACATTGGCAGAGCCCAATGGTGTCCCATGCCAAAGGCAGGGCTCTCCACCACTGCACAGTGCCTCAGCTTGGTCTGCACAGTGTGACCAGCAGCATCGAGAGGTTGTTATAAACACAGAGTCCTAGGCTCCACCCTCTATCAAAATCAGAATCTCAATTTTAACGAAGTCCTCAGAAAAGGTAGTATATTAGATAAGAGAGATGTCCAAGCAGTGTGCTAGCTTGACTGGATACAGGAGCTCAATCAGTTGTCAGCACTCTTTCTCCACTGGTCAGCAATGATTTCCACCTCGATTGCTTCATTCTAAGGCAAATCATCTTCCGTACTGTCCCAGGCAGCCCCAGGATTACATTAGCCTTGCAGCTCAGGACTGAAGTGGGATTCACCCCCAGCATCCATTCTGCAAAAGAACTCTGTTTGACTCTGAGTGGATCACCATGCACGGGGCCTCAAGGTCACGTACCTAGCGTTAAGTGACTGACAGCGTCAGTTGGAGGAGTGACAGTTCCCAAAGGACAAGAAGAGATTTGTTATCAGAAAAAGGGAGATGGGGTTGAGGTAGGGAAATCTGAGCAGACATTCTCTAGATCCCCATTTTATATGTATTTTATATATGTTAGATCCAATAAGATAAACTTTATATATGTCATATGCTAAGATTTACAAGAGCTCATGAATGCCATGTTTACATCTGTAAACACCTACATATTATAAAAAAATGGAAGGAAATAAACCAATATTTAAATATTATCTCAGATGAGGGGATTTCAGGTTAGTGAATTTTTATTTTATTCTTCATTACTTCCCTGAAACTTCCATGTTTCTTATAGCAAAAAAAAAAAAAAAAAAAAAAAAATCACCTTTAAAATTTGGGGAAAACAGTAAGTGTAATTTTTAAAATTCTGTATGTCAAAATGACATATGGTTTACCTACTCTTGTCTTATGACTTTGGGCAGAAGGTTTCTATTTCTTGGTTTATTTATTTCAGGTGCTCTGAAGAGAAACCATTATGGGATGGATGAAGGATAGTAATGCAATACCTCCACCTTAAATTTGGGTGCCTGTGTGTGTGTAAGGACCTGTACGCTTGTGTGTGTGTGAGTGCGTGTGTATATGTGTGTACATATGCATGTATATATACAGGGTGAGCATCCCTAATCTGAAACTCTGAAATCTGAACTGCTTCAAATTCTGAAAGTTTCAAGTGCTGACATGACACCTCAAATGGCAATTTTCATGCCGTGAAACTGTTTTATGTACTAAATTATTTAAAACACTGTGTAAAATTACCTATAGGCTATTGTGTATCAGGTGCACACGAAACATGAATGAATTTCATGTTTAGACTTGGCATGCCAAAATATCTCATTATATATATGCAAATATTACCAAGTCTTAAAAAAATTCAAAATCTGAAACTCGTCTGGTCCCAAGCATTACAGATAAGGGCTACTCAACCTGTGGAATATCCTAATGATGTAAAGTTTAATATTTATGTTTGAAATTATTTATTGTGATGTAATATTTTTGTACGTAAAATGATTTTATTGTGACTGCCTTTGCATTATTTTGTCCCTTGCATTTTACGTACTCTACATTATATGTAGTGCTATGACAAAAGTGATCCTTCATTATCACAGTACACTATTGTTTACTTTTTATCTGTAAAGGTTTTGCTGTTACTTTTTTAAAGTTGTAGTTTGTTTTTTAAAACAACCTAGCCATCATCAAGGTGCTACAAGAGTCGTATAAGGGTATTTTTGGCAATTGTAGGAAAGTATCATTAGCCAGTAAGTAAGTTAGTGATATCACAGATTGTACCAACTATTAATTATATTAAGTATCTATTCCGTTTCATGTGATCTCTGGGAAAAAAAATATGCTGTCTTGGTGCTAATATTGTATGTTTTTAAGTGATCTTCAGACTCAAAAACATGAACACTTTTAGTAAAAGGGAGGAACAGAAGGACAATTTCCAATGGACAGACTCACTTGGATGGAATTAAACCAGTTATTGACCTTATTTTTGGACATGTCTTCTTAGGCAGAGAGTTGGACTTTGTTTCTGTCATTATTGTTCCTATGCTTTTCTTCAGTCTACGGTACCTTGATCTCCCTGCAATGAAATGCAAGGTCCCCCAATAGCTTGGTTACAGAGTGACTTTGGGAGAGTGAGGTCCTCTCACTGTTTTGCCAAGATACTCTAAAATGACGCCCAAGTTTACCAGTAGCAAGACAGAGGAGGCACAGCCACACGGGAGTGGCCTTCAGCATTTCTCAGTATACCCGAAGTTCCAGGACAGGTTTGAGTCATCAAGATCACCTTTTGCGTGCAAACAATGGCCGATGACATAACTTCTTTTCAGGCCATGAGCCCAATACCCTGCTGGGTTTCCTGCAGTTATGTGAAAAAGGAACTGTGGAGTACAAGACACCGGAGTTTTTCTGATCTTCCGTGAATCCACTTTTTGTGACTTCTTTCCAAATTTTAAGTGCTAAAGCAATGGTCTTTTTGCCTTTTGAACCGGATGGAAGGGAATCTGTCACCAGTAGAAGACGCTTACTTGAGAAACCCTGCCCACTTGCAAAACCAGAGGGATTAGGAAAAACCTGACAGTATTCTCCAACTCCAGACAAACTCCAGAGTGCTCCAGGAAAAGGCAAACTCTGTGTATGAATAACTGTTATTCCACTATTAATACATTGTGAAAATATATTATGAATAAATCCATGACCACATCCAAAACATTTAGTTTTACATGGTTTCTGGACTCTTGATTCAAGTTGTAATAAGATTGTCTCTAGGGTTTCAAAATTGCCAAAATGAGAAGAAATGCAAGTTTTCTTAAGTTCATTTTTTTTACAGGTGGCATTCTGGAGACAGATAATCAGAGGTGGACTGTCCACAGGTCTGTCTTTTTATCACCCAATCAGTTAAATTGGTTCTTCTAGAAGTGAAGGACATACACCCCCTGTCTATGTGATGGGAAACAAATGAGCAAACAAAACAGGAGATTTAAGTGGAATTTGGGGCCTTCATTGTTCATTTTATGTAGCAGTAGTCTCTACCTTATAGACTGACGGTGTCCAGGGAAATCGGAGCTTTCTAAACCAGTCAAATAGCAGTTAATGATAACTGGACACCCAGTGTATGGCAGGTCCTCTGCTTCACTAGCTACATCTTATTCTCACAACCAGCAAATCGAGTAGGTAACAGACTAAGCATCGTTTTGTGGAAATGCAAATAGGTTCAAGTTTACATAGAGTAAGAGGCAGTCTGACTCTGATTGGCTCACTTCACCACTTGTGGACCAATCAGTGATGAGGAGGTGGGCTTTGAATGCCCATCTAGACTTCAGTGAATGACAGCTTCAGTTAGAAAAGGGATGGTTCTTAGAAGAGAAGAGGAGTTTTGGTATCGGAAAAAGGGAGATGGAATGGAGACAGGTAGAAACAGCAGCATTCCATTCATTCAGTAATCCAAACGGTCTATCACACATGGAGTAATTGCCAGGCATTTATTCACTATGGTAAGCTTGAGCCTATTTTGTATTTCTAAGGCTCTGCCTCTTTGCCAGCAAAATGATAGACTTGCTATCTACTCAATTTGCTGGTTGTGAGAATGAAATGAAATAATGTAAGGAGAGGGCCTGCCGTGTGCTGAGTGTCCAGTTATCAGTGGCTATTCAACTGATTTTGGCACGAGGGGTACAGCAGTGTATTAGTAAAGGAAAGGCTGAGAATCTTTTGGGGCTTTTGGGTCTGATTGGATTGCTGTACCAACTGTAAACAACAAAGTTATTCTCACAACAGACCTAGAGGCTGGAAGTTCATGATCAAGATGCTGTCAGGGTCAGTTTCTGTTGATAATTCTTTTCCTGGTTTGCAGGCAGGTCTCTTCTCACACTGTCTTCACTTGGCCTTGTGTGTGTGTCTGTCTGTGTATGTATGTATGGAAGGGGGGAGAGAGAAAGGGAGAGAGGGAGAGAAGGAGAGAGAGAAGAAAGAGAGAGAGAGAGAGAGAGAGAGAGAGAGAGTCTGATGTTTCTTCTTATAAGAATACCAATCTCAGTACGGGTTGGGGCTTCAAAGTGTGAACTGGGGGGAGGGGACGTAATTCAGTCCATGACACAGATTGTAAGACAGAGGTCCCCAAATGAGGTGAACATTTCTTTCTTTTTTACTTGCTGTCCAGAGGGAGGGAGGCACTCAGGGCCTGGTGGGTGACTCTGCTCTGTGTCATCAGAGGACTCAGGCTGCTTCTGCGTGATTTCCTGGACTATTCTCAGAGGTACTGCCTTTGATGTCTGGCTCTTACCATGTCAACATCCCAGCAAAGGCAAGACATGGGGATGAAGACGTAACTGCAGAGCCACATCAAGCTACCAGGGAGGCTGGGAAGGTACCCTAGTTGGTACCCATGGTTCCCAGCTGATCCTAGGTAGAGGTGAGGAGAATGGTTCCTGGGGACGTTATCAGCTTCTACCACAAGCAGTGAGCAAAAGCAACAGAAATCTCTTGCCCTTCAGAGCTAGTGGTGACAGAGAAAATCAGCAAATCGACAAGTAGACCACCCTGCAAGTCTTTCCCAGTAGTACATCTGACTATATTTTCCACAGCGGCCATCCATAGATTATCATGGCAGGGTGTGGCATTCCCTGAGCACTGAGGACCTTCATACCCCATCTGTTCTTATCCCCTGTTCCTTAGCAGGTTTGAATTTTCTTTTATCTTCAGACTGTTACGGATATAATAAAGAGTATGGAAAACCTAATGTGCTGGCAAGTGAGAAGTGCCAGAGAGAGAAACAGTGGAGGAGAGGAAGAGGGGGTTCCCAGGGATGAGCCTGTTGCTGTTTTCATAGGATGGTATGCTATTCCTTCTTTATTACTTCCATAGCTGCAAACAAAGCTGCTGTAGGTCACCACCACAGCCTGCCACCAAGTTTAGTGGGCGTGGAAACCACCTGTCACCAACAGATGGCAGGAGAGGCCCTGCTCTGTCATTTTAGTGTCAAGTCCAGCCCATGGCACTGTTGAGCCTTTTTGTTGGTTCTTTTTGTTTTAGACATGATTGTGCCAGGTGTGCTGACGATCTCTAGAGGCTTTCAGCCCTACAATGATTAGGGTGCTCCCCCGGGATATGTACCTTGAAGTTAAAAAGAACTCCAGACCATGAATGCAGTTTTTACTGTGGAAAAATAGGTATATGTTTATGCATATAAATGATCAATTCCTCCTTCCCCAGTGGGAGCTCCAGCAAGGTTTTCGCTATTCGTCACGAAGCTATCCAATAAGGACAAAAAGGAGCAAGTCTTCAAAGCGCTAATAAGGGGGACATCCAATTGCAGTGAGAAAGTAAATGGAACCTTGCGTAGAAATGTATATCTCTGCAATTTGTTTGGACTTGGAGTCAAATGGCTGTCAGGCCATTGAAATGAGTGTCACAGTGTAGTTGATGAAGAAATTTGCCCAAAAAGTACAATGTTAATATTCAATTTGTTGTAAGTTTAAAAACTGAGTTCTTCCCTAAGCTTTTGGGTTCCTATCATTTTACAGATTGGTCAACCTACTTTTAGCAATTACTTATTTAAAATAATAAACATAGAATGTTTGCCTCTCTCATAACTTAATTAAAGTGCTTGAAATATTTAATATAGCATTTATGCATTTGATGGGTTTTATTTCCGTCCTTGGTCCATCAGTGATTTGATACAACAAACCATTCTGAATACTTAAATGACTATCCCATTCAAACTTGAGGGAAACCTTTTGTATCCCTTTCCTACTGCTGCTGTAACAAATTATATCAAATCCAGTGGTATAAACAACACAGACTTATTATAGAATCAGTTCTGAAGTCAGACAAGCAGAGTGAGTCAACGGGGCTGCATTCCTTCTGGAAGCTCTAGGGAGAATCTGGTCCCTTGTCTTGTCCAGCTTCTAGAAGCTACCTGTGTTGACTTGAGGCTCCTTCCTCATCTTCAAAGCCAGCGGAGTAGCATCTCCAAATCTCTCTGTCCCTCTCTGATCTCTTGGACCAGTGTCACATGACCTTTTTTGACATTGACCCCCTTGCCTCCTTCTATGGACCCTTGTGATGACATTGGACCCACCATGTGACCCAGGGTAGTCTCCGCTTCTCAAAATCCTTCACTTAGTTACACCTGCAAAGCCCCCTTTGCCATGTTAGGCAACACACAGTAACAGGTCT